CGCAGCCGCCGTCCCAGCAGCACCCGCCGCAGCCGTGGGCTCGTCTCCCGCCTGGTTGGCCCGGCACCTCCGGAGGCGGTGGCCGTGGTGGCGGCCCGCGCAGCTTGGCGTCTACCAGCGGCTCCAGTGCTGTGACCTGCCAGTACCAGCTTCAGACCGGGCCTCTCCGCAGCACTCTGTGCCGCCGCCCGCACCCGACCGCCCGCTGTTTCCGCCGCCTCGACGATCTTTTTCGTCGTCGCTTTGGCCCGGCCCCGGACCTCCCTGACTGGCACAGCCTACTCCGCCAGGGCGTGCCGATCTTTGAGTTAGACATGGATCAGATAGGTGCTGCTTTGCATGCTTTGTATGCTGACGCTTCTAGTGTTGCTGGATCTTACTACCCTGTGTACTCTAGTTTAGGTGTTTCACCCTTGTGTAGCTTAGCTTCCCCTGCTGCGACAGGCGTAGGACTGCCTAGGTTGCCTAGTCTAGTCGCTGCACCGGCTCCGTCCCCGGCCTCCGCCACTGCGTCGCTGTCCTTCACTCTCGACTCTGGTGCTTCTGCCTGCTTCTTCCGCGACCGTTCCACGCTCACGCCGCTTGCTGCACCTGCTGTTGTCTCTCTCGCTGACCCCTCTGCGGGTCCGGTCGTCGCGCGCAGTTCTACGTCCCTTCCTTGTCCGGCAGTTCCCTCGGGCTCTCTTACTGGCCTCCACGTTCCCTCGTTCTCCAGGAACCTGGTTGGTGTCGGCTGTCTCCAGGACCTCGGCGTCACCACCACGTTCCCCGGGCACGAGCGGTTCGCTGTCTGTTCTGAGGCTGTCTCAGGTTCCCCCCTTGCGACGTTCCCCCGGGACCCGGTGTCCGGTCTGTTTACCCTACACACCGCTTCCCCCCCGGTTGGTGCGTCCTCCCAGGTCGCTGCAGCTTGCTCGTGTCGGTCCCTCACTCACCCCTCCCTTCTCTGGCACCACCGCTTAGGTCACCCTGCTCTCCCGCGTCTGCGTCACATGTCCCAGCACGGTCTTGTCTTAGGTCTCCCCGCGTCGCTCCCTGCCCTTCCTCCCTCGACTGCGCCACCGTGCACGCCTTGCGTCGAGGGTCGGCTCCGCCGTGCTCCTCACTCCTCCTCGCTGCGTCCTGCTACTGCCCCCCTTCAGACCCTGCACTTGGACGTTTGGGGCCCTGCCCCCGTCCCCGGACCGCGCGGTGAGCGCTACTTCCTTGTGCTCGTCGACGACTACACGCGCTACACCACGGTGTTTCCCCTGGAGCGGAAGGCCGACGTGCCCGACGTTCTTCTCCCGTGGGTTGTGGCTGCGCGTCTCCACCGCGGTCTCCCCGTGTTGTGCCTCCACTCCGACCGTGGCGGCGAGTTCGCCTCTGGTCGGCTTGGACAGTTCTGTCGTGCGGAGGGCATCACCCAGTCTTACACGTTGCCGGACTCGCCACAGCAGAATGGGGTTGTTGAGCGCCGCATCGGCTTGGTCATGGAGGTCGCCCGTACCTCCATGATCCATGCCGATGCCCCCCATTTTCTGTGGCCGTTCGCTGTTCGCTACGCGGCTCACCAGCTTAACCTGTGGCCACGCTCCCAGCGGCCGCAGGTTTCGCCGACCCTCCTTTGGACCGGGTCCCCCGGTGACGCGTCTGCGTTCCACGTCTGGGGCTGCCTTGCTCACGTTCGTGCCTCTGGCACGGACAAGCTCACTGCCCGCACTGTCCCCTGTGTCTTCCTCGGTTTCCCCCTGGACTCGTCTGACTGGCTTTTCTACCACCCGCCGTCTCACCGCTTCCTCCACTCTCGTGACGTCACCTTTGACGAGTCCGTCTCCTTCTACCGCCGCTTCCCTCACCGAGGTCTCCCAGTTGCCCCCCCCCTTTTCCTTGCTCCCTCTCCCCCGGTAGCCCCTGCCCCTCTCCCGCCTCGTCCTGCCCCGTCTGGTGTCTCCCACGTCACTCCCCTCCCGTCGGTTGTCCCCGTTGAGGAGTCTGCTGACTCTGGTGGTACCCCCGGTCCGTCCTTGCCGCGTCCCCCTTCCCCGGTGCCTCCGCCCCCACTGTCGCAGTCGCCGACCCCGCTGCCGCCGCCGTCGCCGTCGCCGCCGCAGCCGTCGCCGCTGTCGTCGCCGCCGCCGCCGCTGTCGCTGCCGCAGCCGTCGCCGCTGTCGCCGCCGCCGCAGCCGTTGCCGCCACTGCTGCCGCTGCTCTCGGCCCCTGGGGGTGCTGGTGTGGAGGAGGGTGTTCGTCCTGCGGCTTCTGGGGGTGCCGCTGGTGTTGGAGGGGGTTCTCGCTCTGGGGGTGTTGGTTCTGGGGGTGCTGCTGTTGAGTGTTCTGCCGACGGTCGTTCTGCCTCTGCTGGTCCGAGAGCTCCGGCCCAGCCGTCGTCGCCGCCGCAGCAGCCGTCGCCGCCGGTTTCCGCTCTCCGCCTGCTCGGCCTTCCCTCCCCGGACCGCGCGCCGGTGTCTCCCCCACCGCCTCCTGACCTTCCTGTCTACGGTCCTGTGTTCCCGCCGCCAGACTCGTCTCCGGCCCGTCTTCCTCCTCGTTCCCCTCCTGTGTCTCCTCCGCTGTCCCCTGGCCCTACCCCTCCGTCTCACGTTTGGGCTCGCCGTCCCTCCCGTGCTCGTCCTGTCTCTCCTGTCCTGCCCACCCACCCTATGTTGCTCCGTTCCCACTCGTCTCGTCCTCCCCTCCTCCCGTCCCCTCCTCCCTCGTCCCTTGCTGTTGCACCTCCTCCATTCTCTGACTACCTCCGTGCTGCTCGTCCCCTTGTCCCTCGGGTCCTTGCCTCTCTTGTTACCGACCCTGCTGTTCCTGTCTCGCGCCTTGACGCGCTTGTCGCTGCTGTCGCTGACTTCGCCTCTACCCGCCGCCTTGACTACGCTACCGCTCTGGTCTCTGACCCTGCCCGTCCTCTGTCCGTCGGGGGTGCTCCTGCCCTTGGCAGTGACGTCCTAGAGGACAGGCAGTACGAGCTGGCTTTCCTTTCCGAGGCTGCTCCCCATCTCTGCTCCATGCTGTTAGTCCCTGAGGGTGACCCAGACGCCTTCGACATCCCGACCCCTCGCACCTACGCTGAGGCCACCTCGGGACCTTGGGCCTCTCAGTGGATAGCTGCCATGGAGCAGGAGATGGCATCTTGGAGATCCACCGGCACTTACGTCGACGCAGTTCCCCCGCCTGGGGTGAACGTAGTCGATGGTCGGTGGCTCTTCAAGGTGAAGCGCCCCCCTGGAGAGCCGCCTGTCTTCAAGGCGCGCTACGTGGCCAGAGGTTTCAGTCAGCGCGAGGGGGTTGACTTCTTCCAGACCTTCGCCCCGACCCCGAAGATGACCACTCTTCGGGCGCTGCTACACGTAGCAGCACAGCGTGACTACGAGCTTCACTCCCTCGACTTCTCTACTGCCTTTCTTCAGGGCAGCCTACACGAGCAGGTCTACCTGCGCCGACCACAGGGCTTCACTGGTACCTTCCCTCCTGGGACCCAGTGGCTTCTCAGGCGCCCGGTCTACGGCCTGCGTCAGGCTCCCCGCGAGTGGCACGACACGCTACGTGCCACGTTAGCAGACCTGCAGTTCTTTCCGTCCTCTGCTGACCCTTCACTGTTTGTGCGTTCCGGCCAGACTCCGTTCTACATCCTTGTCTACGTAGACGACCTGGTCTTCGCTACTCCTGACAGGGACGCACTGGCCTCTGTGAAGGCTGAGCTGCTGAAGAGACACACCTGCACTGACCTTGGAGAGCTGCGTCGCTATCTTGGCCTGCAGATCTCTAGGGACAGAGCAGCACGCACCATCACTCTGACCCAGTCACACTTGGTGCGTCAGGTCCTTCAGAGGTTCGGTCTTCAGTTCTCCTCTGCACAGCCCACACCTCTACCCGTAGACCATGGGCTCTCTGCTCCCGTTCCTGAGGAGCCAGTAGAGCCCAGTGGCCCCTACGCAGAGCTGGTGGGTTGCCTCATGTACCTGATGACTTGCACTCGCCCAGATCTCGCATACCCTCTTAGCATCCTGGCTCGCTTTGTGGCTACAGGCAGACACCGACCTCAGCACTGGTCTGCCGCTAAGAGGGTTTTGCGTTATCTTGCTAGTACATCAGGCATGGGGTTAGTGCTAGGAGGACGCAGGCCAGTGGTCCTTACTGGGCACACAGACGCTTCTTGGGCAGACGACGCTGAGACGCTCAGGTCGTCGCAGGGCTACTGTTTCAGCCTTGGTTCGGGTGCTATCTCTTGGAGATCCACTCGCTCGTCGTCTGTGGCTCAGTCTAGCTGTGAGGCTGAGATCTACGCTGGTGCCATGGCGGCACAGGAGCTCCGCTGGCTGACCTTCTTGCTCACAGACTTAGGTGAGCGGCCTAGCTCTGCCCCGGTCCTGTACGCTGACAACAGGGCCATGATACTCCTGTGTCAGGAGCCTCGGCTTGAGGGCAGAGCGAAGCATATCCAGCTGCGGTACTTCCTCCTGCGTGAGCTACAGCAGCGCCGCCAGGCCCGCGTAGTTCACTTGGCCTCAGGTGCCAACACAGCTGATATCTTTACTAAGGCGCTTGCGCCTAAAGATCATCAGCGGCACTGTGTACAGCTTGGTCTTGTTCCTGTAGCTGCTCCCCTGTTAGGATCCTGATTGTGTACTCTCTATTATATATGCTTGTCAGACTGGCCTTGTGGCCTTACCTCCAGTGGCTGGACTAGTAGTGCCACCCTGGCTTGCTTCAGTTTTGGTTGTATTCTTGCTGACTGGTCTCCAGACCCCTGCCTCAGTGGTTGGACTAGTAGTGCCGCCCTGAGCTGTTTACTTCTTGTTTAGTTTCACCCCTTGTCTAGCCTAGGGGGTGTGTCAACTTATACATATTATCTATGTAGAAGTTATAGGCTAGACTGAGGTATGCTTCTAGTGAGTACAACCAACTAGTATTTGTTCTAGGTTTCCACCTCTAGTAATCATTCGTTTCTACGTTAACAGTTTGGCCCTCCTTTGCTATTTTAACCTGGGGCTTTTACGAATCGCATTACTCGTGATTCCTCCAAACAAAACCATACGCTACACCTACAATAATCCTGTCTACTTATCCTACAACGCCCCATTCCCTCTATTCAGCCAGTATGCATCAGAACGTATGTTATTGTAGCAATGGTTTTCTATATATTATACATGTATTACCACCATCATACTATACAGCGGATGTATCTATTCAGCATTAACTGTTGACTAATGGAACCAGGCCACAACCAGCTAATGAGTCTCTCCTGTCCGCCGAGAGGCCGCAATCCATTCGTGCTCTGCAAACATGTCACAAGTGTCAGTCAGGCAACAAGTATAGGTAAGTTGCAGGAAAGATACCTAAACCAATTTATCATTGTCCCTAATTACCAGAAAAATACTAGGCTTGAACTCACCAAGAATCTCCTGCACGGTGATGCGGCTCCTGGGGTCAGCAGAGAGCATGCGAATGATGAGATGCTTGGCTGATGACGACAGCTCCTGCCACCTCCGGCTGTGGCTGAACCCCCTCCTCCTCGCCTCCAACACCCTCCGCCACATCCCATTACTACCTGATGTTTCCCCATCCTCCCCACTGCTGCTCCTGCTGCCATTTCTACTTCTTCTGCTGCTGCTGCTGCTGCTGCTGCTGCTGCTGCTGCTGGAGCTGTCATGGCTGTTGCGTCTATCACGCACGAACGGAGTCGTGCCGCAGAGCATGATGAAGAGAGTGACCCCAGCGCTCCACACGTCGCACTCACGCCCGTACGATTCGGAATACACCTCTGGAGCCATGTACTCTGGGGTGCCCACCACGTCAGAAAGTGGAACACCCCGAGTGAGCCGTGCTGCGACTCCAAAGTCGATCAGCTTGATGCATTCAGCGGGTGATTCTGGTGTTTCTGGCGATTCTGGGGATTCTGGGCACATTTTCAAGATGGCTTCATCGATGCCCTCGTTACAAGAACCATTCGATATAAGAACGTTCTCAGGCTTTATATCGCGGTGCACAATGCCGTGCGAGTGGCATTGGTGCAGGGCCAGCATGAGGGATCTGAAGATGCGCGCTGCAGAAGGTTCTGAGAGCCTTCCATGGCGGGCGATGAGGTCAAACAGGTCTCCCCCCTCACAGATCTCCATCACCACGTGCACGTGCTGCAATAGGGAGTGACAATAACAGAAATTAGTGGTTTTGATAAGATTATGAATGTGGGCGGTGATTGGTGCATGGCAAGGAAGCAAATCAAACTAAATTCAACAAAGCCATCAAGTCAAGAACTTACCTTTTGTGTCTCCGCAGCCTGTTTGATCTGAATAATATTGGGATGCCCCTTGAGCTCCTCCATAAATGCCACCTCATTCCGCACTGCCTTCACGTCAGCAGCGCTCTGCACAATGAAACGACAAAAGGTGGGGAAGAGAGCACAGGAGGACATGTGAGGTGAGATGAGGCAAGGAGAGGCGAGGAGAGGAGAGGAGAGGAGAGGAGAGGGGAATAAATAGGCTAAGCCGGCAGCTATCAAGTATAACGAACGGGGTTTGGGGGTCAGGGGGCTAGGGACCTAGTGTCTAGGCGTAGGAGTGCGCACCTGGAAGCTCGTTTTCCGGATGCTCTTGCATGCAGCGTGCTCCCCGGTGCGGCGGTGCACGCATCGCCTTATCGTGCCGTACTGCCCGCTGCCGATCTCCCGCTTCAGCAGAATCCACTTGTCTCGGATGTCCCCTGAACGCCGGATTAACACCTCCCCCACGTGCGCCTCCCTCGCCTTCCCCACTCGCATCGAATCTGACCCCGGTTTCAAAGTCGAGCCCGAGGCTGACAAAGAGTCTAAGTCTTCGGGTCGTGTAGCTCCATTGATTGTGTTGACCGCATTGACTGTGGTGTTGACTGTGGCGTTGACTTGATTGAATCGGTCAAAGGAGGACGCAACGAGGCCGTCAGGGGCATCATGGAACCACTGCCGCAGCAGCGACCGCTGCTGCCGCCGCCCCAGCTGCTGCTGCTGCTGCTGCTGCTGCTGCTGCTGCAGGTGCTGCAGGTGCTGCAGGTGCTGTAGCTGCTGCAGCTGGTGCTGCTGCTGCCGCTGTAGCGCCAGCAGGCCAAGAGCACGGGGCGCATGGTCCGCCGCATTCACCAGGCTAGGAGGGGACGCGGGGAAGCCGAAGGTCGTGGTAGGGCTGCCGGCGTGAAACGCGGCGGCATCAACGCGCTGCTGGGTAGGGCGGTGCCGACGACAATGGTGATTCATGTCGTGGTGCTGATGGTGCTTGGCGTTGTGGTGATGGTTCATGTCGTGGTGGTGATGGTGGTGATGGTGGTGGTATAAGGCGAGCGGAGTGCTATAGTAGTATCAGCTGGCAATCGTATCTTCGAGTCGGAGCGACCACTCACGGAGACTCGGAGTCAATGGCGAATCTTGGGAATTCAAGAGCTGCTGGAAGTTGTGGCATGCACGATGCACTCACGGGTAGGGATGCTACTGTCACAGCGAGTGAAAGGCCGCGAATCCAGCACATTCACGAGCTACTAGCGCTTGGTGGGAGTCGTGGGTGTCTGCTACTAGGAGTCGCGGCGACCGTATTTATTCTAGCAAGGCTCGACTCTGACTCCCAGCCGCCGCCTCGCGGACAGCCCGAGGATTAGGCGAGGTCAGCGCGCGCGAATTGTTTCCCCTCTCCGCGACAGCGCTCACAGTAAACCCCAGCGCACACAGTAAACCCCCTATCAGCGACAGCGCACAGTAACCCCCCTCAGCGACAGCGCACCCGAATCATTTGACCACGGCTGCGCGATCTCTACTCGATACTCCGAGTCGGTTCAGTCCGGTTCACTGTGGCGCCCCCCCACCCTTCCCCCCCTTCTCGCTAGTAGGCGCGCAATCGAGGAGACTGGGAGATGGAGGAAAGCGGGGGGAATTGGGGGGCTGTTTGGGGAAGAAGAGCTGTGCTAAAGGGGAAGCGGTAAGACGCAATGCGATGCGGGGAGCGGTTTGGGGAAGACATGCTGTGCTACCCCTACTACAACTCGCAGGGAGCAGTACTGCCACGAGCCCGCGCGTGCATCGCGGGATTGGCGCAAGCCAAGGCAGCTGAGAGGCGGCGAGCTGCGAGAGCCAGTGATCCGTTGCGGTAAGGCAGCGACGGCCAGTAAGGGCTAGCGAGGGCCAGCACACGTGAAGGAAGGAGCAGTGGGACTCTGGGAGCTGTGAGAAGAAGGGGAGGAAAGAGCAGAGCACCGAGCGACGCGAAGAAAGGAAGGAAAGAGCACGGAGGGAGCATATTCAGATCAGTTCAGTCCTCCCCACTGGCGTCAAGTGGACGCGACGAGCGTGCTGTTCGGCAGCATGCGTCGCGTCGCGTCAAAGCTTGCGATCTTGGAAGCACCAAGAGACCTGAGGCTTGGTCGCCAACTGTGCAAGGTTTGGGCGGCGAGCGAGCCGCGATCAAGCGCCAACGAGGCGAAAAAAGGGGCGGAAGCTTACCGCAACGGACTAAGATCCTCCAATGGTGAGAGCGTAAACGTCCTTTCATTCTAGAAGCCGCGGTTACGCGTACATGGATTGCCTCATCTGCTAGAATGTCTAGGAGGAATCTTGCTCATTCAAACGAATATTATGGAGGGGGGAGCTCATACATTTCTCATTCGGGAAATTCAAGGAATCGACAGAAAGGTTGCGGCGGGGCGAGTTTTGAAGCGGTTGCGTTTGTTTCAGAATGTTTTGATTGGAATAAAGAGGTCGTGGTGAGGGGGAAATGGATACAGACGACAGAAGGGGGGAATGTAGGCGGAGAAATCAGTAGAGAGGGGAAACGAATTCGGCAGAAACTGGCGGTAATCTATGCTTGGCGGGGGTTTATGGGGGAGATCTGGGGAGCCGAATTTTTTGTTGACGATGTCGCTGGTTCGTGCGTTTGGCTGCGATGGTCTTCCTGAGGCCCTAGGTTCGAGCTGCGGGAACTCCCTAGCCGACCACGATAAGGATTGGTTGATGCAAGAAAAGGAGGAATAAGTTTTTAGCGAATCAATGTGCGTTTTGTGGTAACCTGCTGACTGGTTCTGTGACCATTCGGCCCAACGCGAAGATCAGCTCCAGCGGTGCTGCAGGAAGGAGCTGCTGCAATGCCATCTGTACACGCACATGTCAGAACTTTTGTCGTCATTTTCCGTCAGCAATGCTGCTTGCCAACCAGGCAGATAAACAATTCCTCGTGAGATCTATAACTTTCCACGTCTGCACCAATCCATTCTCTCGCCTAATCGGCGGATTTCTGCAGCTGTTTCGGTTCGCCACAAGAATGTTGTGGTTGTTGGTGATTGTACAGGTGACAGATGAAGTCTTCATGCATGAAAACTGTGAATCATAAGAAGCATAGTGCACCATTGTGTACTTTTCACCTCTAAAATGGGATGGCATTAGGAACAAGGGTCGTTATATCTTTATCTTGTTCAATTATTTTTTCAACAGCCACATTCAGCTTGCCAGAAGTGTGTGTGCACGTGATATGGTCAGTGTCAACTATTACAATTGCGAACACTACATCCCCTCAGCATCCACCTCAGCAGCACCCAGACTTCGACTTCTCTACAGTAGCAGACCACCATGCACCAGCCACTGAAGCCGGAAACCTTGCCCAACCAGTGAAAGGGCCCTGGTGTGCCCCCTTCTCTGTAACAGTAAACGCACTGCCATAGCGCGACACTGCCAGCATGGCAGCAGTTGTAGCATCCACAGGTGTAGCCACACCAGTCTTGAACACCCTCACATCATCCAACACAAATTCTGCCGCCTGCTCTGGAATAGACCCGGAATAAATCGCCGTCTGCCCGTAATCCTCGGGCAGGTCCTCGCCTTCTCCTTCGCCTGCCCCAGAGGGCAGCTTCACCGCCCGGACCGTCAGGCTGTAGAATCTGATTGGACCAACCCGGGCAGCAATCTCTGGGTTTTCCACGTCGAGTTCTCGAGCCTCCACCACTCCCCACCCTCCCAGCCCCACAGAGGCCATGAGACGGCGGAAGTCCTCCAAGTAAAGGGCTCCGCTCAGACACTCACCAAAGAGAACCTGGTTGGGGAGTGGGAGGGAAGTGATTGGTCAGAGGAGAGGGGGCACAAGGAAAGGGGCTCACGTTCTGCTCACACAGCCTCCACTGTTCCCCAACCGCCCAGCCCCACAGAGCCCATGAGGCGCCAGAAATCCTCCATGTAAAAAGCCCTGGTGAGGCACTTGCCAAACAGAACCTGCCAGAAAAGCGTCGAAGGGAATAGTGAGGCAACGAGCTGAACCAGTCCCACCCGCCAGACCCACAGAGCCCATGAGGCGGCGGAAGTCCTCCAGAGGGAGAGCTCTGCTCAGACAGTCGCCAACGAGTACCTGATGCAGGAGGGAGAGGGTGGTATTAGAGTCGAGGTTCTGGAAGGGCATCAGCTGCCAGCGGAAAGAGGTTCACTTCGATTTGAGGTGGTGGGAGGCCATCAGGCGCCCAAACTCCTCTAAGTGCCGAAAATTGCCCCACGTCAAACAAACTGCGTCACTGACCTTGTCCTGTTGCAGGTGCTTGGGGGTGTGGCGGTCGGCAAAGACGTCCGAGAAGTAGAGCTCGCCATGAGGCACCTCCAGAGCACACCGCCCACTCACAAGCACCTTTGACTGACAAGGCTGCCTTGTCTGTCCCCACCTTGCTCTCACCTTGTCCTGTTGCAGGTGCTTGGGAATCCTGCGGTCGGCGAACACGTCCGAGAAGTAGAGCTCGCCGCCCGTTTTGAGCACGCGGGCGATCTCAGCGATGACCGGCACCTTGCTGGGGGCGAGGTTGATCACGCAGTTGGACACCACCACGTCCACGGTGCTGTTAGGGGGATGGGTGGGGAGTGCAAGGACGGGAAGAAGAGCATGTGGTAGGGTGGAGAGAGGTGGTGTAGAGTGGGATGGAGCATGACAGGAGCCTTGGCATGAGGTGTGGTGTGGATGTCAGACGCCTTGCTGGGGGCGAGGTCCATCACGCAGTTGGACACCACCACGTCCACCGTGCTGTTCAGGGTGCGGGAAGGGAGGGGGAGAGGGGGCAGGGAATAGGGCGGGGTGGTGTAGAATGAGGTGGTGAAGTGTGACGTGCAGAGATGACATGCGTTTGCTGGGGCCGAGGTTGACAACGCAGTTTACATCCACATCCAACCACGGGTGGATGCGGTGAGGTTGGGAGTGGTGACGTGCGGCCATGAGGCTGATGTACATCAGCCCCTGATGTACAGAGATGCAGCAGTATGGACCCCACGAGCGCGATTCCATAACCATCCCTCCAACAACTGAACTCCTAACCCCCTACCCCCCTACCCCTATACCCCCCTACATCCAACCTCCAACCCCCCTCCCACACGCCTTTCATTTCTCCCACACGCCTTTCATTTCTCCCACACGCCTTTCATTTCTCCCACACGCCTTTCATTTCTCCACACGCCTTTCATTTCTCCACACGCCTTCCATTTCTCCACACGCCTTCCATTTCTCCACACGCCTTCCATTTCTCCACACGCCTTCCATTTCTCCCACACGCCTTCCATTTCTCCCACACGCCTTCCATTTCTCCCACACGCCTTCCATTTCTCCCACACGCCTTCCATTTCTCCCACTCACCTGTCCTCGACATTGGCCGCCTTGAGGTTCTCTATAAACCCCTTTCTGAAAGAGACGTTGGACTTTTCCAACCCAAACTTCTCCCGGTGGTACTCCTCGTGCTGCCGCGCCACTGCCAGCTGCTCGTCTGAGAAGTTGCAGGAAGGGTGGGGAAAAGTAGCGTGGGGAAGAAGCGATTAAGAGGAATGGCGTCGTGCTGCTCCCCATGGTGCTCCTCGTGCTGGCCCGCCACTGCCAGCTGCTCGTCTGCTGCTCGTCTGGGCATGGGCGTGGAGAGGGGTTGGGTAGGGGGGAGGACAGAAGGCATGCGCACGGGGAGAGGGAGTGAGAGCGCGGCGGTGGTACTCCTCGTGGTTGCGCGCCACTGCCAGCTGCTCGTCTGTGGATGCGTGAGGGAGAGAGTGGAACAGGGTGGTAGTGCTTTTGCTCTCAGCGGTAGTCCCCGTGCTTGCAGGCCACCGTCAGCTGCTCTCAGCGGTAGTCCTCGCGTTTGCAAACGACTTCACAAGGGAGGGGGGAGGGAGAGTGGAAAGAGAGAGGGAGATGTAGAATTCTGGGCTGGGCCAGTGCGAGAGGCACATTTAAAGGCCCGTTACAAGACGCAAGTTACGGTGCCTCGATACAAGCATAGAACTGATTGATCGGGTACACGCGTTGTACTGCTTGAATTCCCTCATCCTCCCTCTATCCCCTTATTTGTTGCTGACCTGTCATGTCGATCCCAATGACCTGGCCTGTGGGCCCCACAAGCTGAGCTGCCACGTAGACATCCCTGCCTGTTCCACACCCCAGATCCAGCACAGTGCAACCCTGCAGAGAGGAGGGAGGGAGGGGAGGACACTTAGAATTGACTCCCGCACCCCAGATCCTTCTGAGTTAACTGAGTTGACTTTATTGACTGAGTCAACTTGACTCGCACACCCAGATTCAGCACACTGCATCAGGCGCCGGATATCCGTGCCTAAGCAGGCTGTCTGACGTCAGCAGGCATGCTGACGTCTGCAGAACCGGTAGCACGTAACACCTTCAGCGCGTAGGTTAAATAGGCATACATCCCTGCCTTGCCCATTGGACTCATGTCCTTATTTCATCATTTTTGCTCCTAGAGCACGTACCTGGTGCAGGGGAGGGAGCCATGCTTACGTAGGTGATTTTTTAGTCGACTCAAAAATAAAAAAAATCACCTTTCTTAAGACGACTCAAAAAATAAAAATCGCCTTTTGAGTCGACTCAAAAATCATCATTTTTGCTCCTAGAGCACCCCACGCACACGTACCTTGTGCAGGGGAGGGAGCCATGCTTGCCTGGAGCAGGGGACGGATGCGTGAACCACAGCCGTAGATTTTCGTCAAGATCTCATCGTGGACGTTCTCCATCAGGCGGCGGATTTCCGCGCCCACGCCGCCCGTCACCAGGCACGCTGACGTCTGCAGATCCGCCTACCACGTAACACACTAAGCGCGTGGAATGGCTAGACCACCATCCGCTTGCCCCTAGAGCATTCCAAACACACATACCTTATGCAGGGGAGGGATGGGTGAGCCATGCTAACCTTGAGCAGGGGAGGGATGGGTGAGCCACAGCCGTAGAATTTCGTCAAGATCTCATCGTGGACGTTGCTGAGCAGGCGGCGGATGTCCGCGCTCACGCCGCCCGTCACCAGGCACGCTGACGTCTGCAGATCCGTCTGCTGCTGCACCGTCTTTCCGTAATACTCGCTGACGTCAGCATGCGTCACGTCGCTCCCGGCACCGGCGGCACCGGTCGCAGCCGCGGGAGCAGCGGCGGATTTAGGCCCGCAGCAGCTGCTGCTCTTAGCCTCAGTTGGTGGGGGGGACGCCTTAGGCCCGCAGCAGCCGCTGCTCTTACTTTCGGTAGGCGGAGGAACAGCGGCCTTAGGCCCGCAGCACCCACTCTTAGCTTCGGACGGCGCGGGAACAGTCTTAGGCCCGCAGCAGCCGCTACTCTTACTAGCTTCTGACGGCGCGGAGGACGCCCTCGGCGCGCAGCAGGAAGTGGGCTTCGCGGCGCTAGTGGTAACCCCCTTACAGCACGACATGGCGAAAGCGGTGACGACGGGACGGCGGATCAGCGGAGATTGAAGAGAGCGAAGCAACATCCGGAGAATCCGGCCAAGGGAAAGTTGTCTGTGCGTTGTGGCCTGTGGAAGAGAAGTGTTCCAGGGTGTTTTTGAGAATTCTGGAAAATCCCAAGGACTGCGTCTTGTGGGCCTTGTCCAGCAGGCACTTGATTCCATCCGAGGAAGGCTCGTGGCGCCAGATCTTGGTGTCGCGGTACCAAATCTTGGTTCGGACCTGCCAGACCCACATCGAGCTGTCCGAACCAGCAGAAAGCAGCACACACCGGGAAACCAAAGAAAGCCCCCAAAAACATCGGCGCAGAACTGCCCAACTCTACCCAACTCCCAAATCCTTGCGTTCCCTGTGCCAGTTTTAACCCCTTGCTCTTTTTTCCCGAGTTGGGCGGATCTTGTTTCCTCAGAGTTCGTCTACACTGAAACCTTGTCTTGTCACCCTTCGGTTGCCGAACTTCGATTTTGGCTCGGCTTGTTACCATCTGGTGAAGCTCGGGGATCTCGTCCCCATTTCCATACCGATTCCATGTGCCTGCCGGACACGGCCGTGGTGTGGTGGAGGGTTCCAGAACCGAAAAATGCAGTTTCTAGGAATTGGGGACGGCATCTCATCTTGGTTAGGATGGATGCCGAATCGACGGCTCAAATTCTCCTGACACTGGCTCGTTTGCAACCTCTCCAGCCCGTTATATATGCTCATCGCATAATCTAGGTTGGAAAAGGAAGCCTATTCTTGTATTAGGGCCCTTGGCTAGCATCACCCCTCCTATCATTATCAATGACATGCCATCTTCAAGCAGTCTATCAAATCCTATTCTTCAGTTCCGCAAGCTTCCCACGCAACCGCTCTAGTTCCACTCCCCATTCTTCCTTCACCACTACCGGTTCCAAGTCATCCAATTCCAGGTCACTCAACCCACTCCGACCACTCCCTCTCCCTCGTCCACTCACTCCCTTCACCTTCCTCTGCCCCTCCTCGTCGTCATCACTACCGGCAGCAGCAGCAGCAGCAGCGGCGGCAGCAGCAGCTGCAGAGGCTGCTGCTCTCTCCTCTGCCATCCTCTGCATGCTGGCGAGGACCATCTCACCTGTGATTGGTGGCAGCTTCCGCCGAGGCTGAGTGGGGGACGAGCCATCTGTAGCACCGCTGCTGCCACCAGCGTTATTCACCTCGGTTTCGATTGAAGACCAGACCTCCTTCCAGTCTTTCTCTTCTCTGCTTGACCCCAAATCACTCCTTGCACATCCCTCCTCGCCCTCACTTCCATCTTCCTTGTCGCTGTCGCTGTCGCTCCCACTGCCACTGCCAGCTCTGCTTTTCCTGCTCCAGCTCCTCTTAGTGCCTGTACTGCCAGACGAAGCAGAGGTTATGGTGCCTGACGCGATCTTACCCCCAGCACTAGTGTCGCTGCCACTCTGACTGCTGCTGCTGCTGCTGCTGCTACCGTTCCTCTTCTTCAGCTTCTGATTCTGCTGCGTTTGCCTTTGCTGCTGCTGCTGCTGCTGAGTCTCAATTTCCACCTTCGAGCTGGAAGCCTCTTCCCTCCCTTTCTCTTTGCTGCGTCGTTCCCATCGGGACACACTGCCTTTCCCGCTCTCCTTGCTGCCTGTCGTACCCTCCTCGTCTATTCCACCTTCCTCGGTGCTTTTCCCACCCTCCTCCCTTTTTCTTGCACCCCCGCTCTTGATCTCCCTGCTATCCTCACCATGGTCCCCCCTGCTCCCTCTATTGCCAGCCCGACCATCATTTGCCTCCACTTTGGACCCTTTTTCCGCCCCTCTACTCTTGCCCGCCTCTCTTCTGCTCTGTTTGCTAACGCCAGTATTGGCTGCAGCAGCAGTCCCGCCACTGCCCTCAGCACTCTCAACCCTGTGAACCCTCCCCTTCTCCTCCCCTTCCTCCACACTCTCTCCTCCACTCTCCGCCCTCACTCCCTCTGCCTCGTCCCCCCGCTGAGCTTGGTCGTCCAGATCATCCCAGGGGTATCGCGCCTCCGTTCTCTGCACTTCTCCATTCACTTCTCCCTTCGCTTCCCCCTTCGCTTCCCCTTTCCATCTCTCTGACCTGTCTCTCCCCCTCTGCCCTTCTCTTTCTTCAGACCGGCTCACTCGTGCTGCTGCTGCTTGCTGCTGCGTGTGCGAAGAACGTTCCTGCACTTCTCCCTTCCCCATCCCTGGCTTGTTTCTCCCCTGCTGCTCCCCTCTTTCTTCAGACTGGCTCATTGGTGTTGCCGCTTGCTGCGGCGTGTCCGGAACTGTACGTCCCTGCACTTCTCCCTTCCTGCTCTCCTCTGACCCGTTTCTCCTCCTTTGCTCTTCTCTTTCCTCAGATCGGCTCATTCCAGCTGGTACTTGCTGCTGCTTCTCCATTGCCCCAATCTCTGCTCCTTGAATCTGAACCTGCAATGCCCGCAGCTGATCCTGGTAGCCTAACCCACTTCCACCCCCTCTCGTTCTCTTCTCCTTCTGACCTGATTTCGCCCCTCTTTCCTGGCCCTCTGCTTTCATCCCTCCCTGACTGCTCTCGACCTTCACTCCTCGCTGCTGCTGCTGCTTCTGACGATTTCCTGCAAGCCTACCATCCGCAGCATCACCCCTTTTCCCCTTATCGTTCCCCCCACTGGATTCTTGCCTTGACCCTTCCTTCATCAGCTGCTTCTGCTGCTTCTTCCCCTGCTCCCCCTCATACTTCTCCTGCTGCTGCTGCTCCAGCTCGTTTTGACCAAGCAACGTCTCCTGCTTTCGCCCGCCACTCGTTCCGTCAAGCTGTGCGTCGGAAGAGTCCACAACACGCTTCCCCACATTCCCATCTTCGCCGGCCGAATTCTTCCTCTTCTGCGTGCTGCTAGAACTAGTAGGGGTGGATGCGGATTTGGAAGTCGGTGTGGCGGAGGTCTTAGGCGTCGGAATTAGAGACGCCAGCTTAGCGAAAGGCCCCGACGCCTCGTCTCCGGAGCCCAAACGCGCTGAAACTGCGGGAGCCAATCGCCTCCTCGGCCGCGCGGATGTTCCGCTATAAGCAGACCACTGTACGGTGAAAACCTTTCGACTCGAAGCCATTCGACTTGTAAACAACGCGGAACCTCCATCAAGCATGTTATGCCTGGCGATCTGCCTTCGAGAAGTCGGTACTACTATTCGGTTTAGGCTGAAGCTAGTAGTGCTATTGTGGGAGAGATCGGAGAAGGCCAGGAGCGAATGCCTGTCCTTCCAAGTAGGCGATCCCGAGGTCTGGCGAAGGCTCGTCGCCGGGTGTCGCACACGCGATCGCGCGTAGTTCGTTGCTAGATGTCGATGCAAGCGCGGCAGGTGATGCTGCTGCCAGGCACATGCACATTGCGAGGGTGGAGCCATGCGCGGGAACACTGCTGAGAACGAAACTGTCTTTCACAGGAGGGATAACATAGACTTCAAACCTCGAGACCTACCTACAATACGGTGTACTACAGAATTCGCTTCTAGGAGCAGGTCTTAGGCGCGGGAGGGAAGCTTGACAATAGCTTTGCCTCGTGATTGGGTGGATCTACCTAGGAGCGATGTGTGCTGTTCTACACAAACTGGTCGATATCATACGCCATAGAGGGGACAAAGGAAATAACAAAAGCGAGGGAGATATGGACCCACATCTACAGTTGCAAGTGACAATCTAAAATCCAACAATCTTATTGCATCCATACTTCTAGTTTTGACTTAGCATAGAACATCGTTGCATCCTATGCTTGGCCGTCGCATAGTACCTCCATTGGCAGGAGGGAAGGACGGCACTGAAACAGACCCCATTCTGCCATCTACACCAATTTCAACCACAGAACCCCCATACCTAAGAGGAAACGATCCACCAGGAAGAGGGGTAGCTTTGTAACTCTGAGACCCTACACCCATCACAACCTCTGGCAACACCCCCACTGGTTTAGAGTAGGGGTGGACACTAAACGAACCTCCATAGGAGGACATTGTCATGCGCGTCACCTCAGACCTCATATCCTCCATAGCCTTCCTCTCAGCTTGCCTCTGCCTCCACATGCACGCCCCGCACACCGCACAGCCACAGCACACAAGAACAATCACCACAATCACAACCACTATAGCCACTATCATTCCTGTCCCCAAACCACCTGTGCCATTTTTACTCCCACTTTGTCCCTCGTACCCCTTCGAATTTGGAAGATTGCTAGAACCCCTTCCAACCCCGATGCCATCATTTCCAACGCTTCCAGGAGGTTTGGGATTTGACGGAAGCGGCGTGGGAAATGACGCCGCGCCTTCAGGTAGGGTGCACCACCGGAAGGCTTGGCCGAGGCTCTGGTTTGGATCGTTAGTCCAGCCTTGGGAACAGACGCACTGGCTGCTGTCAGGTGCTGCTGGCGTGCCATGGGGCCCACAGTCGACAGGCTGAGGAGGGGGAGGTGGTGTCGAGGTCTGTGCTTGTGGCGAGGGTGGCTGTAACGGGTATGAGGGTGTAGTTGGTGAGAACGGCGAGCCTGGGAGAGAAGGTTGGAATGAGCTACCAGCAGGCGGAGAGGGGGAGGTGGGGAGGGGGAATGGAGAGGATCTGGAGGGTGCTAAGGGTAAGTTAGGGGGAGGAAACTGAGGTTGGAACCAGATGGGTGGCGGAGGGGAGAGGGAAGGGGTCCTGGGAGGGGGTGGGGATGTGCAGATGAACCCGGGGAGACAGTTGGCCGCATAAGGGGAGGGTAGAAGCGGCGTCTGGCAGAGATTTGTGGTGATGTTCCAGATAGGTCTAGATCCTCCGTATCTGGTGCTGCAGTCCACTGCACGGCACCAGGGGAAGTCGTCCCCCGTTATAAGCTCCTGATCTACAGTGCATGTGATGCAGTAGAGGCGGAAGTTGTAGGAGATCAGGACGCCTGGCGGCGGACACGGAGGGACAGCAGTTTGTAGCATCCTTCTGCCAATATTAGTAGCTGCTGGAGAGGCGGATGCAGGAATATCCGACATTGCCGATGTTCCTCCGAGGTGCTGCTGCAGGAGGATTCTGAAAGTTAAGTCGTTGCGGCTTAGTAGTAGCAAGAGGAATGAAGGAACAAAAATCACACGTTTAAGGCTACGCTGTCCTACGTAAGGCAGGACATGGATGCTTAGGCCCTAAAGAGCCGAAGGAAGATGAGTTTTGACAGTGGCACGTGCAGAAAAAACCGCTTCAAAACGCCTTACAGGATGAGCAGAAATGCTAGACGAGTCGAAGCGCTCTCTCGATTCTTCTTATCCTCATCCACCATATTTCCGAGCTTCAAACCTGGTTTTCGTATTAGAAACAGCGTTACACGAAATCTTATAGCAATTTCGAAAGATCGCGCACCTCAGAATGTGACCGAAAATGTTGTCGCGCGAGGGGGTAGCGCTTTGTTCCTTCCGCAAGCCTCAATTACGTGTAAGGGAGCTTCATTACGTATCCCGTTGACGCTTCTGTTCCTTCTGCTCGCACTGCGGCTTCTGTTTGCGCAGCTCTTGTACTCAATTGCTGAATTATCCAAGAGCTACGCAGGAAGAGGTATGGAAGAGCTGGTTGTAAGGGATGGATGAGCTTGGGGATGGTGGGCTTGCTGGAATCTGTGTCAACGTCGCAACTATGGCAGAAATTGATGCTCCGGCATTGGCGAGTCACATGTGAGCAGATGTCAGCAAACCGGCGAGATGCGATGAAGATGAACCGGCAGGCTCGTGAGCCCGCACTGGAGCGTGAATACTGTACGGGAGATGATCCGTCAACCAGGGGTTGTCACATTCTCCGTCGCAAGCTTGAATTTGTACCGTATTGGTGAAATTTGTGAAGGGGGTTTCAAATCTGACCCCCATTCGAGGAGGAGGGAGATGTCCAATGGGTGTTGGAACGGGCTCGGATCCGATCCTGGTTCATCTTAGCGGAAAATGCTTTGGAGTCTGGTCTGGAGGCTCGAGGTTCTAGGTTTGCCACGATTACTCCTGGCTGTCATGGTCAGCAGTTCCTACATGGCAGGCGTTCACCAACATATCTGTTACCTTTCCTCCTCCCCACACAAGGTAGGAGGTGCATAAGGAGGTGTGTAAGGAGGTGTGTAATGACCATACTTTGGAGGGGGGAGGGTGTAAGAAAATGGTATTTCCTTATCAAGTGTTTTAGTTAGTAAGGCGTACACTGCTATAACGGGTTTGCCGCGCAGCTCTGCCACGAAATTCAAATCGCGGTACCCAAATGTGGTCTCCTGACGAGCCGCATGCATTTTGCCCGCCTTGCTGTTTCATGCCTAGATCTAGGCGCTTCGTACCAATTTACGAACTACACGTCGCAGCTTTGCCGAGCCACAACCGTGTGCTCTAGGCTAGCTATATTCATGCCCCCCCCTCCCCTCCCCCCCCCCCCCCCCCCCCCCCCTTTTTTTTTAATGCTCAGTTGTATTGTTTCCTCGTTACTCAATCCATCGGCACACGCTCTTTGCGCTTCATTACACCTGGCCATCAGAGCCAATGATCCTCAGCCTTGCACTATAGTTCCGTTGCAATACCGACGCTTAGGGAGGCTGAAGCCTTGAGCTTACTGCACATCCGCTGTCTTGGTGATATTAACTTATAATTACCTACAACCACGACTTTGTTCGTATTTTCAGCGTACCAAAAGACGCCCAAAACTTTCGAAAAATGGTGGATTCGTCGATGTCTGTCGCCATGACTCCCGAAGAAAGGGCGGCAATACTTGAAGAAGTTTGTCTTACTCACGAATTGTACCAGCAGGACTTAGAGCTTTTGCAAATTGAAACGACCCAAGCTGAATTTGAGATATCTGCACTTCGGAGCCGACTGCCTCAGACACGACACGACACGATCGCACCAACGACAAACCAAGGACAACAGGAGCAAGTAACCTAGTAGCGTTTCGAAGTACCTGGCGACAATCAACGACCACATGCGGCTTCGCCCGAGGGTTCGACGAACAACCCCCCACCGGCTATTGGACGAGCGGAAGTTGGCGAAGGGGTGAACATCAATCTGCCGCCCCCAATGGATTGGTGATGGATTGGTGGCAGCAGATAATCCAGTCGCAGGAACCGGATACGACGCCGTACGTGATCGGGCGTTTTCGCACGACCAATCATTGGGCAGGAAGTTATTGCGAAGTGGACGAGTACAGCACGTTGCAATCGTGGTGCGCGGAAATCGTCGCCGCTTTGAATACGTCAATACCAGCAGCCAAGCGCGCGACCGCCTTCGCACGTGGCGCCAATTCGGATCGGTCCAGGGCTACACTAGCGGTTTCAAGAATCTATGCGACAATTCACCCTGGCAAATCGTCGCCGCTTCGAACACGTCAATACCAGTAGTCAGCTACATTGACCCTGGCAAGACGTTCAACAAATTCATTGGGGGACTTCGACCGGATCTGCGCAGAGAAATACAAGTCCAAGAAATTACCAATTTGATGGAGGCGTAGAGGGTTGCAGAGCGGTTGGATTCGTTCTACACACAAAGGGTGAGTACCTATGACGGAAATCGCACTCGGGGATCAATCGAGTGTGCCACTGTACACGCAGTTACAACATCAAACTCAGCAGTTACAGCCTTCAAGGGTCGCTCTTTCGGGTGTAACAGGCCGGGACACCGCAAGTCAGAATGCCCAGAGGAGTGGAAGAAGTGGAATCAGGGGCGGGGTAGTTCCAGCAATCAGGAAAACGCTTAATATCAGTAGTTAACGGGCCTACTACTTATGGAATGTGCTCGTTCCAGTACTGGTACCGATCCACGCAATCGACCAAACTCGCGTAAATATGGAGGGTGCAGCGACGGATTACCTCATTTATTTAGAGGGTAGGGTTCAAGGGGGGAAAAAATTCGTGGACGGGGGAGCCAGCCATAGTCTGATCAACCTTGCTACGGCTAAAAAAATGAAGTTACCCTTAGTTAGTTGTCTACCGGAGATTGATGCCTGACTAGTCAACGGGACCCCATTAGGGCGGACATGATTAGGGTACGCTGTGGAGCTGAATTAATTTTTTCGATGGGGATGCTGGAAGTTACACTCGACGGCTTCGACATGTTGCTGGGACGGGACTGGCTGTGACACTTCAATCCGAAAATTGAATGGACAACCGGCAGCTGCTCCGTCAGAATCAACGGCCGTAGTGTGATGTCACCAGAATGGACGAAGGGGATCACAGGGGGAGTGACACAGGTGAACTCCGTGGCGATCAAACGAGCGGTCGCACGGGGCGCAGAAGTCTTCGCTGTAGTCATTTGCGCCGTCGGCGTGACATCATAGCCGTCCGATTTAGAGAAGCTGACATCAGCAGTGTCGGCTGATTTAGCGCAATTGATTCGCAGATTTCGCAGATATTTCCAGACGACTTGCCCGAGGGATTACCACCAGAAAGGCCCTTGGACCATCGAATCGAATTAGAACCATGGACACAACCCGTAATGCAGTGGCAATTTCGACTAACACAGCCGGACTTGGAAGAATTATGGAAGCAGCTAGATTATTTACTAGAGAAAAAACTCATCCGCCCGAGCTCCTCACCATTTGCCGCCCCCGTACTGTTCACCTCGAAGAAAGACGGCGAGTACCGAATGTGCACTGACTATAGAGCACTGAACAGGGTGACCATCAAGTCGCGTTACCCTATCTCGCGCACCGACGAACTGATCGACCAACTTCACAAAGCTCGATTCTTCTCGAAAATCGATTTACGAGGGGGTTACCGTTAGATTCGCGTAAACGCAGTTGACTGTCACACAACCGTGTTTTGTATTAGGTACGGGAGTTTCGGGTATGTAGTTATGCCATTCGGTCTAACGAACGCCCCGGCGATGTTTCAGATGACCGTGAACCAGATCTTCAGATCGCTCGTAGATAAGTGTGTTATAGTCTACGTAGATGATATCTTGTTCTACAGTGAGACCTGGGAGCAGCACTTAAAGGACCTAGAAGCAGTTTCCACGCTACTGAAGGAGCATCGGCTGCTCATGAAGGGGTATAAGTGCAAGTTTTTAAAAGATCGCTTAGAATGTCTGGGCCACGTTATTTCCACTAAGGGCGTCGAAGTGGACTCGCGCAAGTTCAAGATAGTGCAAGCCTAGCTACCACCTAAGAACTTGCAGGAGCTGCAAAGTTTTTTAGGGTTCGTCAATTATGTTCAGAGATTTATCCCGAATATGGCGGGGGTAACTATACCGTTAACAGACCTGCTGCGGAAAGGTATTGAGTATAGGTGGGGGGAGAAAGAGCAAGCTGCCTTCTCTGTGCTAAAAACTTTCTTGTGCTCAGCCCCTGTCCTTCGCATCGCCGATCCTCACCATCCATTCAAATTGCTTACAGACTCTAGCGACATCGTCATTGGAGCAGTACTGTTACTGGACTTCGACGAAGGCCTACATCCAATCGTGTATGAGTCACGAAAGCTGCACCGCCTGAGCAAAACTTTCCGATACATGACAAGGAGATGCTCGTGCTCATGCACGCCTTCAAGGTGTGGTGGTGTTACCTGACGGGCGCAGATGTGACAGTACGGACAGACCATCGAAGCTTACTGTACATTCGCGCATAGCCACTGCTCAACCCACGATAGATCAGATGGTTGGATTTCATGGAATCCAATTTCCACTACACAGTCACCTACAAAAAAGGGGCATCGAGCATTGCAGACCCCTTTTCTCGCCCATCCGCCCACCTCAACTCCATAATCCTCGCCCAAACTTCCCTGTTCTTAACAGGCCTATTTACCCACGAGTACCAGACGGACAGATTCTTTACGTCGGGTGCGTACGCACAGCTTGCAACAGCTAAGGGAAGTCTATTACGTAAAGACAAGGACTGACCGCATCTGGGTACCTGAGTTCAGTTTATTACGGGAATTACTGCTTCAAGAAGCCCATTATAGTACCGTTTTGGGGCATTTCGGAGTAGAGAAAACACGGTGGCAGTTGACTTGATATTATTTATGGCCTGACATGCAAGGGGACGTGCAGCGGCATGTGGTTTCATGCAGAACCTGCCAAAGCATGAAATCATCAAAGCAGAAGCCAGTTGGACAGTTGCAGCCGATTCCGCCGCCTACGCGTGCGTGGCAGCAGGTGAGAATGGACTTCGTCACAGGACTGCCTGCCAAGGACGGCCGTAATGATGCGATATTTTTCATCGTCGATATGCTGACAAAGACGCCCCATTTTGCCTCATGTAAGAAAAGCATCTCATCTGAAGAAACAACACGCATTTCATATCAACCGTCATTCGCCTCCACGTAATTCCATCTGTCATCATTTCAGATTGTGATACGAAATTCACCAGTAACTTCTGGCGCAACATTTGGGAACAGTTTGGCACGCGCCTGCAATTCCACCCCGAGACTGACGGACAGACCGAACGGACCAATAAGACGACGGAGCAGTTGATTCGCGTCACGTGCGATGACGTGGCCGACTGGGAGCAGCAACTGCCACTGATTGAGTTCGCGCACAATAACGCCACGTTAGCCACTACACGGCACTCACCCTTCTATCTGCATTACGGGCAAAACCCTACAGTACCGATCACGCCGAACATAGAAAATCCTGTACCTCAAGCCCAACAGT